ATTAATTTAATTTATATAATTTAATTATATATAATTAAAAGAGATTTTTAAAACAAATGTTTAAACAAAATTCAGAAAAATAAATACTTAATTTAAAGTCAATACGTTTTTTCTCATTTCCACTGTCAAGTTTGCAGAAAAGGCAAAATTTTTACAACGAAATTTTTTTAATTTCTAGTCGTATATTTCGAAATTAAGATCGTGCGTAATATATTTTTCAAATAAAAAAGTTTTCTTGGAATAAAAAATAGAATCGTGAAATTGCTGAAAATTTTTATGTCTCATTAGTGCATTAGATGAGATCCTAAAATTTTAATTTTAGTGAACTAATCTCTGCTTTTAAATTTTTAATTACCTTAGAGGTTCGCGTGTCGCTGATGGTGTTACCTTTGCCCTCCAGCCCCTGCACCATCGCCCGCGACAGCTGCACCATCAGAGCGTAATTATTGCCATACGAACAGTGATATTGTGAAATATTGAGTAAATATTACAATATAAATGTGCAGGCTTAAAAATGTCGAATAATTATTGAGATATCATTCACAGTTACTCTTTGGAATGAAGAAATAACAAAAAATCAGGCAATCTTCATGCATATAACAGACCAGGACTCACGAATATCAGACCCAGACTCACTATCTGGTCTGTCTGCATTAAATAAATTACAGACCGAGACTCCCTTTAATGGGGTCTGCCAGACGTCACATGAACAGCAGACCCAGACTCACTATTTGGTCTGTGTGCATTAAATAAATTACAGACCGAGACTCACAATTTGGTCTGTGTGCATTAAATAAATTACAGACCGAGACGCACAATTTGGTCTGTGTGCATTAAATAAATTATAGACCGAGACTCATAATTTGGTCTGTGTGCATTAAATAAATTATAGACCGAGACTCACTATTTGGTCTGTGTGCATTAAATAAATTACAGACCGAGACTCACAATGGGGTCTGCCAGACGTTGAATTTGCAATATTTCAGTGTCGGAGATGACGTCATGGAAGGTGACGAGGCGGGACGGGCCGCGGTGATGAACCTCCACCTTGGGGGGCGAGAGGGTGAGGGAGGGGGCGAGGGGGGCGCTGGGCCCCTCGGGGGCGCCGTAGTGGCAGGTGAGCAGTCGCTCTGCCTCGGGCGGCTGAGGTCATTGGAAATTTATGATGAATTATGATAATAATAATTCTGTCTCTTATACACATCTAGATGTGTATAAGAGACAGCCTCTGAGCAGAGCCTCACTCAAGCGTCTCCNAATAGTATTAAATATTATTTAAAAACCAGCATGATACATACATAATATAAATTACAGAATAAAACTGTACGAAAGATTTCGGTGTAATGTTGTCAACCTCAGCCTGTTACTATTGTCAACATGTTATCAGAGGTGGGCAGTGGCGCGATACATGAAGCGGCCGCTGCATTTTCAGTAGCGGTAGCGGTAGCGACGCTACATTTAAAGCCACGTATCGGTAGCGGTAGCGCCCGCTACATTTAGAGCATGTGGCGGTAGCGGTAGCGGCCGCTACATTTCAAAGTAGCGCTGCCCAGCTCTGCGTATATACAGAGGTGGGCAGTAGCGCGCTACATGTAGCGGCCGCTAGATTTTCAGTAGCGGTAGCGGTAGCGACGCTACATTTAAAGCAACGTAGCGGTATCGGTAGCGCCCGCTACATTTAGAGCATGTGGCGGTAGCGGCCGCTACATTTCAAAGTAGCGCTGCCCAGCTCTGCGTATATACATGTTCAACGAATTTCAATCGGATATAAAATATTGAGAATTTCTATTAATTTCTTTTTACTTACAAGAATTTTTTCTCCTCTGCAGAGGGCAAAAAAATTCTGCTCGTCCAAATGAGGTCCAAAATATTGGAATCCGGGGGCGAGCTCTTCCGCAGACTGAATGTTTTCTTTAGTTTGCCATAAACTTTGTTCATTTTCTTTCAAGAGGACATCGGATCCGTTTTCTTTAAAGTTGCTGTTGGGAGGACTGTTCTCTTCTGGCTGATTCGGGGTTGCTTCAACCATCAGGGACTTTTCAAGCTAGAAAACGATACAATCTTTGCACCAAAGCAAAAAAAAAAAATATGAAACCAATATCATCTTATTCACAAGGTATAACTTCATTAAGGATATTTTGATCAAAAGCTTTGTATGATTTTCATACATGGGTTCAAGTTGGGTTCGTACAAATCAAATCTGTTAGTCATGATTTAATTTAGTCCGATCGACACTGGCATACATTTTATGATCATAATTCCTATCTTTGCAATGAATAGTGCCCTAATATACTATTGAAGTGCTTAAAATATATTCCTACTCAACTCCCAGCCTCAGAAGCTAAGCCTCGGACGAAGACCAAGCATAAATCGACTTTAAACTCAAAATTTTCAACCTGTAATGTACTCGAATTAATAAACATTATCATTAATGTTACTATTTGAATTGTTATCTCCAAAATGTGTACAATTTATATAATTTGAATCATTATTATTAACTAAAACAATTTAAAGCTGAAAGATAACTAACAGCATCGACAGCGGCAGCGAGGAACTGGTCAACCAAATGTGTACAATTTATATAATTTGAATCATTATTATTAACTAAAATGATATAAAGTTTAAAGATAACTGACAGCATCGACAGCAGCAGCAAGGAACTGGTCAACCAAATGTGTACAATTTATATAATTTGAATCATTATTATTAACTAAACTGATATTAAGTTTAAAGATAACTGACAGCATCGACAGCGGCAGCAAGGAACTGGTCCACCAAATGTGTACAATTTATATAATTTGAAGCATTATTATTAACTAAAATGATTTAAAGCTTAAAGATAACTTACAGCATCGACAGCGGCAGCGAGGAACTGGTCAACTTGCTCCAGGGTCACGGTGTGGTTGTGTTCTCTGTCAGCCAACAGACGCGCCTCTGTGAACCAGTCGACCGCCTGCTGCAGGAGGCCGAGGTTGTACGCGTGCTTGCCGAGATACACGCAGTCTTGCGACTGTCTCTTATACACATCTAGATGTGTATAAGAGACAGCCCTTAACCCGACCCTGGTTGAGAAGGAGACTGGGGCTTTTGTTTTGAGAAACAGATTACATGTGTGGGTATCGAGTGGCGGTTTTCGCTGAGGGAAAGGAAAGCCTAGCCTCAAGTCGTTAAATTTAATAGGTGGCTAGACACTTGAGCAGGGTAGGCTAACCGCTTGAGACGATTTGAAACCTGGGTAAGCGGATTCCGAAAACCACAAACAGTGACCACCTCGTAGAAGCCGAGAGCTTGGGGAACGCTATCCGATACAGGAAATTCTCGGCGAAAATATCGGAGACTGTAAATATAATACGACTCATAAACAATAGCCGATAGCTAAGAGCGGACTGAGTGCACGACTACATAAGCTGTATATATAACTACGAACTTAGAAGTAGGAAACTTTTAAGGTTAAGGCTAGACTCAATGTTTTTTTTTTGGGNCTCCACCCACCAGCCCACTCCACCCACCAGCCCACTCCACCCACCAGCCCACTCCACCCACCAGCCCACTCCACCCACCAGCCCACTCCACCCACCAGCCCACTCCACCCACCAGCCCACTCCACCCACCAGCCCACTCCACCCACCAGCCCACTCCACCCACCAGCCCACTCCACCCACCAGCCCACTCCACCCACCAGCCCACTCCACCCACCAGCCCACTCCACCCACCAGCCCACTCCACCCACCAGCCCACTCCACCCACCAGCCCACTCCACCCACCAGCCCACTCCACCCACCAGCCCACTCCACCCACCAGCCCACTCCACCCACCAGCCCACTCCACCCACCAGCCCACTCCTCCCGGACGACATCCTCGTCGATGTGCTTCCAGTAAACCGTCATCCTCTTCATGAGGTGGAAGGCGTGTAGTGGGTTACCCGCAAGTTTATCCACCCCCACACGTCCCCGTGACGAAGATGTCGTCTTCGAGACGTCCATGGACGACGTAGGGACGTCAATGGACGACGTAGGGACGTCGATGGACGACGAAGCGTCGTCCTCCCGTCCCTCGTTGTCCTCCACGAAATTCGCCAGCCCGTGGGCGACGAGGGACGGCGGGCCATCTAAGCCCGTCCACCCAGCGTCCGCTTTCACCGCCTCATACTCCTGGATGTATCTGTTGGTAATTATAGTTTATTATAATAACTAGTTAATAACTAATAATATATTTTGAATCGCCATCAAAAATATCGGTTGGTGAATATACTTTATACTAATACATCCGTTGGTAAATATATTCGAATTGCCAATAAAAAGTTCTTAACTATTTATTACAAACGATCCCTTTTATTAATTATATAACACTGTACTTCTGTAACCTAACATTTTAACCTGATCCATGAAACTTCAGTATGAACTTTCGCTCTCAATGTTTGCACAAGTTTATTAATATCTAGGTAATGACACCTTCCTGCCAATCTATCCCATTATTAGTTTTGATACTTTTATTACATTCATTATTAAAATTCATTGCTCACCCATAAAAGTTATTTTTAAAATCTCCTTTGCTACCGACTTGATCTGCCGAAATCTTGAGCACCATTTGCTGCTACCCCTCATAGTCAATCAGGGTAAAAATTAGCCAGAGAGAGAGTAATTGAAAAAATTAATTAAAAAAATTAGCCATTCTCCCTCCGTTAATAAAGTTTTAGATTCCCAAGCCCTTCTATAAAATTGATTAAGCTTTGACTGCATAGTGCATATGCATTTCAATAGGTCATTTTATTTATTATTGCATAGTCAACCGGATGAACAACCGATTTATTTACAGACATATTTGGAGAGACATATCTTATGTTTTAACGGATAAAGATGCAAAAGACGATCAGAGAAACGAAGGATGTGTAAATCCTGTGAAAATTTCTTGCACTCATAATTTAAACATAGGAACTTGTTTACATCATGTTTACATCCTTAATTCCTGCCGTAACTTGCCGTCTTCTGTTTCGTTTTTAATGTTAACCTTCACAGCCTGTGCGATGTTGTTAGAACGTTCTTGCACTTTCATCAGTCCAATTTCTATCTGAGGTGCAGTCTTTATTGCCTTTTCTGATATCAAAGTTGTCCATTAACTCATTCATGTATTCGATGTTCTATCAGATAGCATCCCGCCACTTCTTCAGAAGAATCTTTTCTAACAAGAGTGACTTGTCCCGCATCTTTTCAGCCATGATTGGCACTGTCATGTTAGATAAATCCTATGGAAATAGTCATAATCTTTATGTGAATAAAAAATAATTATGTATGAAAGAACAAATTTTAAAAATGTTAAAAATACGGTGTAAATAGCCACAAATAGCCACAGCTATTTAGAGTGTAAATAGCCACAAATATCCACAGCTATTTACAGTGTAAATAGCCACAAATATCCACAGCTATTTACAGTGTAAATAGCCACAGATCAGTCCAGATTAACATCTATTAATGCAAGTTTGCATAGACTGATAATGAAAAAGTTTGTCTATGATCATTGATTCAAGATCCACTTATTGTATTTCAGAGCTATTGACGTATGTTTGTTGGCAATAACTCTTGACAAGCTAAACATTGCACATCACAAGTGAGAAGGAACTTCGTCTATTTACCGCCACGAGTCTACTTCAGCTGACACTCTTGCTACGTTCCCAACAACCTAAAAACAGAGGCTTTTTACTAGCTTGACTCAAAAATTATAAGTACCAATAATATATGTAGTTCGTGGAAAATGTCTTTTGCGAAAACTTGAATTACGATCTCTCTGGTTCTGGAAAACCCTCACAAATTCTTTCTCAGGTTAAAAACGTTTTTATCCAAATGAATCTCATCACAATCTAGAGGTTAAAATATATCAATATGGCATAGATAAAGTTAAAATACCTTCAAGACACAGATTTATTTTCCCAACGCAAAGTATTATATATTATGACTTCACTGTAAATATGTAAAGTTCAAGCTTTATTTGATCACAAATGATTGCTTACAAAACCTTTAACTACCGAAAATCTTCACCCAAGGCTGAACAAGAGAAAGTGGAAACTGCGTCAACATTACGCATGTAACATATGGGCTTCTGTACACATTACAAAAGTGTTCACGTTTTACTCATGATGTATCGTCCATTAACTGAAATCTGATTATGTGTATAATTATGTGTGTAATTTATTATGAGATAGTGTAGGTTTTAATTCATAAATATTAATCCTATTAAAGTTATTTTTCTTTGGTTTCGAAGCCGTCTCATCTGTGCTTGAATACGTACAGAATTTCTGTAAAATATCAGTGATATCGATTTGTAAGAAAACCAGTAAATGCTTGAAAACATGATAACATTATAACAGATGTGTGACAAATCATCTCTCGATATGATCTTTTGTGTGGTACAGATGTGGGCGGTTAATCATCAGGACCAGAATTTCTTGGATATTCAACAGTGATGAAGGACCATGCAGCTGTGGTGTCTTCAACAATGACTTGCATATGCTTGATATAATTCATTATATTTAGAGACACAACAGCTGTTCTCGACGCTCATGTCGTTATTGTTCGCTGGTGCCATGTTCACTTAAATTATTGTGCAGGCATTGTAGACTTCATTGCTCGTCAAAGAATAAGGTTTCATAGCTTAAATCTTCTATACCTCAAGTGATGTTTAAATATTATTGACGTCATACCTCGTCAAAGTTTAATGTTTCATACCTTAATCTTTGTAAAATCAGGTATTGTGTAGGCATGGTTGACATCATACCTCTTCTTCAACTGATGTTTTATATTTAAAACCTTGTTCAATAATTATTGTTTATATGATGGTTGTTAACGGGATGCGTGGTTAACGCTCAACGTCATTCATCCAATACTGGTTGAATTAAAAGTGGTTGTTGAACTTACGTATTCATTGAATTAATGTCCTGGGGCCATACGTTCAAAACTCGCTAAGTGAACGTAAGTACTTACGCTCTATTTTCTGGTCTATGATTGGTGGATTTTGCTTGAAAGGCCGTCAATGATTGGCTGATGAACTTACGATCTCATAACTTTTTTTGAAAGTATTGGCCCTGTGCTTTTCATCAACTTAAGCGTCGTACGTTTCTTAAGAGCTGTTTTCTTCAATCACCTGCGTATAGCAAGCAGATGGTTCGTGACATGATAAAACGTGAGGGTTGTTAAAGAAAATCTATTCGTATGTACTGTATATTTAACGGAAAAATTATTGCGCCTTTTTAAGCAAATTACTATTGGTTCAAATTTGACTGATTTGATCAAAATGACCTCAACATAATATGATCAAATGATTCACCTGGGGCAGCACGATTACAAATGTTTGAGAGACTGCAACTGCGCCAGCCAATCACTGATGGCTTTTGCTTTTCAATTCACCAATCACTGGCGATAAATCGGCCACTACGCATACCTAGGCCGCTATGCGTACCTAGACCGTTACGTGTACTTAGGTCAATACGTGTACTTGGGCCGATACTTGTACTTAGACTGCTAGTGCTCTTGAATCGCTACTTAATTGTACTTTAGGCCGCTTCGTGCACTTTCGCCGCTACGTAAACTTAGGCCACTACGTGTACTTAGGCGGCTACGTGTACTTAGTCGGCCACGTGTACATAGGCGGTTACGTGTACTTAAAGCAGTTGCGTATACATGAGCGAGTTTTGATATAACGGCCTTGGTCGATAGTTCAAACACAATAAAAAAGTTATATAAAAAATATGAAAATGTTCACCAGCTTTCGTGCAAGTAACAGTTCTATGCAAATATATTTTGAACACAATATGCATTAAATGATAATATATTAATTACTAAACATATAATTGATGAAATCAATATAGATAATCATATTAGACAACTCTCTATAAATCCTTGTTATCATCAATTAAGTAGATAGCGTTACATGTATAGCAAAGCTCTAGTGAACAAATTGCGAGCCATAATTATTAACTAATAACTATATATTATAAACCGTATTAAACTATGTCAGTGATAATAAAATAGAATTAAATTTAGGGCGAAAGGAAGAGGATGCATTGCTTATCACTATTAACCATCGAGCGTGGGAGCATCGGCACTGCGTACGTAATTTTACGTACGCAGCCCTACGTACGTGGCACTGCGTACGAAATCTTACGTACGTAGCCCTACATACGTGGCACTGCGTACATAACCTTACATACGTAGCCCTACGTACGTAGCACTGCGTACGAAACCTTACGTACGTGGCACTGCGTACGAAATCTTACGTACGTAGCCCTACGTACGTGGCTCTGCGTACGTAATCTTACGTACGTATCCCTACGTACGTGGCACTGCGTATGAAACCTTACGTACGTAGCCCTACGTATGTGGCTCTGCGTACGTAACCGTACATACATACGTAACCAGGCGCACGTAACGCTGCGTACGCAACATTGCGTCGCGTACGCTGTTGGTGACAGTGAGCTCAGATCTGTGTCACAGATACGCTCTGCTAAAAAATTTAGGTTAAGAGCCCCATTTAAGTAATGAAGAGGCAATAGTAAACCTATTTCGCTCAATCTAAATTTTTCTATCAAAAATTTGATTGTTACACATTTCGCTGTATAAAAATAAATAAATTATATTTTTAAAACGGATCGATTCTTGTAATAATTTACGCAAATGAAGAGGTTGGCATCCCAATGAATATAAATGAATTTTTCAAAAAATAAGTGGCATTTGAAACACTCAATGCATAGAAATCAATGTGCATCTGCAGAAAATTCCATAATATGAGGGGAAATGTATATATTTTTTGTATAAGAGAATCATAGATGCAGTTTAGTGTCCTTTACGAACGGGATGCGCTGTTAAAACGAAACACACGAACATGAAACTATTTATAACGAACAACCAAAGCATCAACAGGCCACGAATAAATTCAACCACCATTATTAAATTAACAATGCAATAGTGATGACTTGATGAACGCATGATGCTCCCATTTAAAATGATGATCGTGATGCGTGCTGGAGAAATGCACGTATTTTGTTATCGCTGTCATCACGCACATCTCACGCGCGTTGCGTCTTATCATGCGTGATGAGACTACACGCATTTCATGAGGTGAATAATCAGACGCACACAGCACAGACCTCATAACACGAATGTATTCTTACG